TTTTGATGACGTTCGCCGTTGCGCTTTTTTCGTTAGCAATCGGTTGCGATGCTTTTTTAAAACAACATTAAAAAGGAAGCATCTAAATTATTTGCCACCCACCCACCACCACCTACACACCCATACCTTCCATTTTTCTGTCATTTTCCCATTTCATCTTTCCTTTCCAATGCATTATTATGTAATATTATGTAATTATTTTCTCGAGATTATTGACGCTTTTAAATACAGTTACGAACGCTCATGTTTTTTCTTTCCTTTTTCACTGGCAACAATGGCATTATTCCTAAAGCCGGCAATCGAAAGAATTAAACAATAACAGCCAACTTATAGAAGAGATTTTCTTTTTTTTTTAACATTTTTCACCATATATAATTCATAGACATCGTTGAATTATGTCGATTAATAACAAATAATTGAATCCCATTCAAAATTCAACTCTGACGATGTAATGTACGGCTACGAGTATGACGAAGATAAACGATTGTAAATAAGATTGCTTTCAAAATTATATACATTGAATCTTTTAGTGTCTACACCTCTGTCTAACTAATATGCAAAAAGTTACCTCTACCCATGTTTACGTGGGCTGTGCGTAAGTGAAACCAAAACTTATACAAATATTATGTTTTCTTATACCATCTATAAGTTCTACTGAAATCGATATGCAAGAAAAAAAAGAACAGAGAAAAGTATATTCGTGCGGTTTTCATAAATTCTGGTTACAGTATGAATTACTATATAAATTTTCTCGGATCTCTTTTTATAGAAACGAAGTCTTCGGCTGCGTTCTAAATTTTGTTTTTCGTTTGTTTTTATTCTTTCTTTCTTTGCAATTACGAGTCTTATAATTATTACATTTTTTGTCAATACAAAATTCACACCGAATTATACCCAACGACATACACAATAATAAGTTTTGAAAATTTGCAAATATTTATAATTTATGTTAATTAGACCTATTAAGACTAAATCCTTCTAAAAGCAAATAATAATCATTTGCAAAATGAAACATCGATGCGAATAAGAAATAGTAATTAGCGATATTGCATTATTAGAAAAACAACAACAAAAAAAAAAAAAAAAGAAAAAAATGTAATGAATAATCATTTATGCGCCAGACTTTTTGATATTTACGTGCTGCTATTGTAAAATACATTGAGAAACAACATTATTCATTTTATTATAATGGAGGCTCTTAATAAAGAAAAAAAAAAAAAAAAAAAAAAAAAAAAAAATAGAGAGAAAAAAAAACCAAGTCTCATTACATATAATGACAATGCTCGAGCCATCACGATTGCATTGCCTAGATCTCCCTCCGATTCCTTAAAATTATTCAGAACTCGGAATCACGTCACAGACAACGATGACAATGACAATGTGGGCAACGGCGACAACGGCGGCGCCGTCGACGATAAAATAAACGGACTTTGCATTTGTATATACAAAGGTTTCGCATCGTTGAGTAAATTCTAACGATCGTCATTATGGTTAATAAGATTGAAACGCAACCATGTGGATGCTGTTCTCATTGTTAGCTCATATTAAATAACAACATTTTTTTGTTTGCAGGAGAAATTTTGAAAAATAACTGCGATACGTAGAAGCGAATAATTTTTAATGAATATTGTAAACGGCTCGGCGTACTTGCGTTATAATACTTGTGTAAAAAGTTTTTATAATCGTATGTCGTTTCGTACAACCTGCAATTCTAACGATGAAATATCTTTTTAATGAATTCGCCAAATCACTTCCGTGGCTTCAAACTGACAAAAGTCTAATGAAACTTTTCATTTCGTTGGAATGCAATCTGTTAAGTGTTATTTGCTATTATACATACGCGCTGCCTATGGATGTACAATTAATTACTCAAGCACTTAAGAAGTTTAAAATGTTGTTGTAAAAATAATTATAACGGCTCATGAGCATAAATATTGAACATAGATTTTAATAATTAACTTTTGTACTTTTTTTCTTCATTTTTTCTTTTAATACAATTTAAGCGCTATTTAAGTCGATTAGTTAATAGGAAAAATGATGGATATGGCAATACAAGTACCCATGGTGGGGGAAGGAGTGAGATTAATACATTTCTAAGTCCTTACTGTGTCATTGTAAAGGAGCTGTCTAAAAGTTCCGATGTATTATCTAATAATAATTGATGATTATGCTATTGAATTATTGAAAGGATAGCTCCAAGCGAGTTAAATCGATGCCCAATTTCGCGTACGATAAATATACTTCGTTAAATTGATGAATTATGGGAATAAGAGTAGCACTGGTAATAAAATTGTTAAAAATTAGCTAATCGCACGAGCATCCGTGAATAAACCTTGCAACATGCAGCTAAAATCATTATAATTATCATTACTTTGAATAAGGTACGAAACAGAGGCTCGTCGGCACTCCATCACACGCCTCTCTCTCTCTCTCTCTCTCTCTCTCTCTCTATATATATATATATATATATATATATATATATATCTCCATATCTCTCGCTTCAAAGTTTGTCCCTACTTATCTATCTATCCACAACAGGCTCTAGGATATAGTGAGCAAGCGGTTGGCGTGACGAAGACGCCGTAGCCTTGACAGTCGACCCGAGCGTACCGCTGTATGCCCATGAAAAAGAAGAAGATGAAGAAGAAGAAGATGAAGATGAAGATGAAGATGAAGATGAAGAAGAAGAAGAAGAAGAAGAAGAAGAAAAAACGCTGAATAGATTGAAGAGGGAGAGCAGAAGAGTTGCTTCCTTTTCCAAACCTTCGAGGAATCGCTCCGCGCCACTTCCGAGAAGCCGAGGTTACTGTTTTTGGACCAGGTGTACCTGCGTCCCCGGGCTCGGCACGTGCGCGAGGATGATGATCCACACGCGATGATGGGCCCTCGCGCGAGATGATGATGACGGTCCGCGATGGGTCTCTTTGGGGGCTGATGCCCCCGGCCTCTCGGATACCGATCAGCGACTCGGGCCTGAGTCATCGTCGCTTCCTCGAATCGCTCGCTCCTTGCCGCGAGGGCAATCTTTTATACGCGTCGAGCGGTGCGAAAAACTTCTTCAAACCTTCTAATCGAGTCGAATCCAAGCAACACTTTCCCGATCCCATTAGCATCCCTCGAGAGTTCCCTCTCTCTCACACCCCACCCCACCCCCTCCCACCACCTCCATCAAACCACACTCAAATACACACACGCACACAAATCCACCACCCTCGACCGTACATCAACTGGGAATATCCACGTGGCTCTGCGCAGCTAGTCAGCCTCGTCGGTTCCTTGGCCTTGGCTCGACATTGTCAAACTGGCAGAGGTGCAAGGCCCGTTATCGGCCAATCGCGAGAATAAATTATCGGACGGCGATTTCCATACACCAAGATACTTCAATGCCGTATTACCGATACTACGGCAGGTCCGAAATTGCAATTACGCAAAATTTCGAGCGCCGCCGTTCGGCTACTGCCTACCGACGGGCGCATCGACCTCAATCCGGAGCTAATCCACAGCCCATCTCGTCCATAAAATCCAACGGTCCCAAAATTCTTCCGCGACTTTAAGGACGCCAAGAAGCACGCAGATACAAATAGCCACAGCGGGCAATCCGTCCGGAGCCAACAATAAACGAACGAATAAACGAACGAATGAACGAACGAATGAACGAACGAATGAACGAACGAATAAACGAACGAATAAACGAACGAATAAACGAACGAATAAACGAACGAATAAACGAACGAATAAACGAACGAATAAACGAACGAAGAATAAAAACGAATAAACGAACGAATAAAGGAACGAAGCCGATAACGCAACTATCGGCTTATCGGCCATAAGCCTCGAGGTCCCTAGGTCAGGGCCGTCCTCCTCTCGCCTCGGTGCTGGCCGACGGAGACGCCCGGATTTTGTTCGACGAGTGCAAAATAACGTCGCTCGGGTACCGCGGTCATGAGATTCTCGAGAGGGAGGGGGGCGTAAATAAGGCAGTAGCAAGCCGAACGGCGCATAAGTAGTTCAAGAAAAGTAATTAATTTGACGATTGGAGCCCGTGACTTTTCAAAAGCCGAATTGATTGATTCACCTCGGCGGGAGGATGCGGGAATCCAATGGTAAGCTAATGGCTTTATTGCCAGAGATTAAATGTATAAAACAGATTTATTGCGATTTCGCTGCTGACCGCTCATTAAATAGATATGCCTGCTCGGGCGGATGATGAGTCCAAAGTATCTTGTAGTATCTGTAATTACTAGGATTATCTCTCGATACTTTGTCGGTTGTGTTGCTTGGGCGAATTATAAAGTACGACGAGTAGTTGGGGCGAGGGGAGTGGGTGGGGCGCTCGTAGAAGTGGAAATTTGGACACTTTGCTTGTGCGAATTCGCTTGAAGGTACTGTGTTGAATTTACCGGCCCATTGACATTGTCGTCCCATTTCCCAAATTAAATATACACCAGCTTCTTTGTTGGTAATCGCCCAACGATTACGAATTACGATTACCAAATAGATTGGGATTCAATCCATCAGCTATTCAATTGGAGCCATTGTGAAAAGCATTGGGAGTTGTAATCTTTGTTTTTGATTGATGTTTTACTACTTGAATTTGCGCGGACGTGTTTGATGGGCTTGGAGATCGCCTCGATCACTCTGTACGAAATTCAAATGCGATTGCTCGACAAACATGTATGCCTCTGCGCAAATGTTCAGCCCCGTCGAGCCAACCAGCGAATACAATACTGCACCGTCGGTCCAGCCGACTTTGCCCTCAAAACTGCACAAAATTACGTCATGTATTTCCCGATGTAGTTTATCCATAAAAACGCAACAGTGTTTTATATTTATGGAGACATATAATGATGCGTGTGCGTGCGTGCGTGCGTGCGTGCGTGCGTGCGTGCGTGTGTGTGTACGAGAGAGAGAATTTATCGCGGGACAAACGTGTGTACATTTATAGTTGAGCAAAAGGCAAACAGCGGCTTTATATCAACTTTCTCTTTTTATTATTCCAGGAAAACAAGGAAAAGATGTCCCGGACGAAAAAAAAGATGCGGACGGCGAGCTGTGGGGCAACGTTGAGGCCCAAGCCGCCTTTCTCGGGCCCAACCTATGGGACAAGACATTGCCCTACGATGCCGACCTGAAGGTATTAAATCATGTATGTACAAAAACGCGATACGGTAAGCCTCAAAAGAGAAGCTTGCAGAGGAATATATTATTTTTTTTTTTGGAAAGAGAACGTTTTTGGTTTTTATTATCATTTCATTTCAATTATTTTAATAATAGTTTGGGAAGATTTTTTTTTTCTATAATTTTTTTGGTTTTGTATTTTGTTTTTTGTTTTTGTTTGGTTCTTTTTTTTTTCTTTCTTTTCATTTCGTCTGAATGCACAAGACATCCGCATCACTGGTTTTGCATCATTGAGTTGGACTTACACTTTTTCTTCGTACATTGATACAAAAGGTTTTCAAGATTTATGTTTCTTTAAATAAAGGCATATTTTCGTTTTCGCCACTTCTTATTTAAGAATAATAATGCCACACTATCTTCTCACCTCTACATAATATTCTATTAATTTATCGAGCTTTATTTATCAATATTGACAATTTAATATGCAACTGCATAGATCGGCGATATATTTATTATGCCGAATTAATTGCAAATTAATCATTATGATTTTATTGACGTAAATGATATTTCACCGTACATTGGCATATTATTCATTTGCTTGATCGAGAAAAATATTACTCATTAATATGCCTACTAATAAAATTACGATTATTATTTTAGAGATTTATAATAACGAATAGTATTAAATTTATTTAATAATATTACATAAAATTACGAATATTATTTTAGAGATTTATAATTGCAATAACGATAATATTGCCCAAAAGTGTATTTAATATGTATAATTCAAATGCCACACACATTGAATGACCTTTTATCAATGCATTGATGAAAATTTGCATCGATTTTTTTGGGAAACAAATTATTGCATTATTTGATTTTCATTGATAACATTATATTTGCCAACAGACACGTTGAAATAAAAAGAAACACTTTTTCTTTTTTTTTTTTTAATATTTTTTTTTTAAACATTATTTTTTTATCTACTAAATATAATGCATAGATATAATAAAGGGAGTTATTTATACATGTGCATGCTGTTATCATTTAATACGAATCAGAATCATTATTTTATCGGAAAATAACATTTGTTTTGATTAACAATGAATGCATAAGAACTGTAATGTTGTCTTATATTTAGCATGCCGAATTTTTCATAATAATATTCTTATAATATATAACTATATATAAGTGTATGTATGTATGTACGTGTGTATATGTATAATAATAATAAATAAAGAGTGAGCGAGGGAGTGAGTGAGTGAGTGAGTGAGTGAGTGAACGAGAGTATAATAAAATGTAACTATAAGAAGACAAACCAAACATACTCAAACAACAAAACGTAAAAGCTACAGCATTTCATTCGAAAGTACATCAATCAATTTTAATGTAAGTTATTATAGCAGAAGTTAAGAAAGCATAATGTTATATCTCATACTTCCAATAGTCTAAATGAATTAGCGAATGGCTGAATTTTTACATCGCGCTAGAATAATTAAAAGGAAATAAAAGAAAATGAGTTAATTGCCTCTCGAAGCTAAATTTAAAAGCAACGTAATTTACAAATCCATTTTCACTCGGCAACGTTAACTGGCCACCTAAATAAAATTACAATTCTTACCGACTGCAATAATGCCTCGACAAGAGAGAAAGTGCAACGACCCAATGACTTTCCGTTATATACGAGCGAGGAGCCGGGGATCCCATTACCGTTGCGCAGACGCATTAATGTCTCCTGGCCGAAGGAGGTGCCGTTCGAGTACCAATAACGCGTACGGCCACGAGGACGTATCCCGCAAGGACAAACAATAATCGCGAGACGAAGGAATCGAGGATGCCGGGGCCCCACGAGAGAGCCAGACGCTGAACGAAAGCAGAATAGGCCGCGGAGTTCGACGGTCACTTTCTCCTGCCGTTATGCTTCGACGAACGAGGAAGTCGACGCGAGGGCGGCCCCGTGTCGGCCAGCGGATGGGATGAGGGACGGGCGTTCTCAGAGGGAAGGAGGGAATGTACCGATCATCCACTCTCTCTCTCTCTCTCTCTCTCTCTCACACACACACACACACAGTCTTTCTGATTTTCCGCCGAGCTTCTCTTTTTCCTCTTCGTCTGGCTGCCACGAGCATGACGCGTAAATCTGACGATAATCCGGCTGCCACCTTTCTCTCACCCGTCGACTTTCTCCTCGGAGTCGCGCGGGAGTACGAAAACTCTTGCGGGAGAAATGTTCGACCGTTTTACTTAGCAACCACGGTAGGATATCGCGACGCCGATGACGCCAAAGACGACGAAGACGCCCCCCGGACGAACTGGAAACCGGGGTCAAGCGAAAGCAGCGCGTCTTTCCCAATAATTATTAAGGAGATGAGATCCCGGTTAGCTCGAATTTTATAGATTTATCTCTGAAAATAAACGATCTGTTGCGTCAACAATATTTCTCTCGCAATCCCCCGCCTCGCTCTCGCTCTCTTTCTCTATCTCTCTCAGACGCACGTGCGCGCGTGCACGCATTTCGATAAAACGCGAACAGTGATTAAAAAAAAAACAAAAAAAAACAAAAAAAAACAAAAAAAAACAAAAAAAAACAAAAAAAAACAAAAAAAAACAAAAAAAAACAAAAAAAAACAAAAAAAAACAAAAAAAAACAAAAAAAAACAAAAAAAAACAAAAAAAAACAAAAAAAAACAAAAAAAAACAAAAAAAAACAAAAAAAAACAAAAAAAAACAAAAAAAAACAAAAAAAAACAAAAAAAAACAAAAAAAAACAAAAAAAAACAAAAAAAAACAAAAAAAAACAAAAAAAAACAAAAAAAAACAAAAAAAAACAAAAAAAAACAAAAAAAAACAAAAAAAAACAAAAAAAAACAAAAAAAAACAAAAAAAAACAAAAAAAAACAAAAAAAAACAAAAAAAAACAAAAAAAAACAAAAAAAAACAAAAAAAAACAAAAAAAAACAAAAAAAAACAAAAAAAAACAAAAAAAAACAAAAAAAAACAAAAAAAAACAAAAAAAAACAAAAAAAAACAAAAAAAAACAAAAAAAAACAAAAAAAAACAAAAAAAAACAAAAAAAAACAAAAAAAAACAAAAAAAAACAAAAAAAAACAAAAAAAAACAAAAAAAAACAAAAAAAAACAAAAAAAAACAAAAAAAAACAAAAAAAAACAAAAAAAAACAAAAAAAAACAAAAAAAAACAAAAAAAAACAAAAAAAAACAAAAAAAAACAAAAAAAAACAAAAAAAAACAAAAAAAAACAAAAAAAAACAAAAAAAAACAAAAAAAAACAAAAAAAAACAAAAAAAAACAAAAAAAAACAAAAAAAAACAAAAAAAAACAAAAAAAAACAAACAAAAAAAGAGAGAAAAAAAGACGCGCATTTGAATTTGTACAAAAAAAAAAAAGAAAAAATACCAGCAGCTTTCACATATACTATTGAGTGTTTGTTTATAGATTTGAATGTGTAATCCAAGCAATGACAATTTTCGTAAAATAGAGATGTAGTAGATGCATTTATGTATCTTTAGGGTCGCATCATCCCTAAATCGTTCATTATATTTAAAAATAATTTTCTTCGGCCTATGAATTTTATCTTCATTTGTTGTCTACGACTAGAACTGTAAGACAGCTTGCTAAGTCCGGGGACATACTTTGGAAAATAATCTCGTAAAACTCGTATCGTCTATACTTGGCTATTTAAAGAGAACGATAAATTTGTTAAATTGAAAAGAATTCGATCTTACAGAATGCTGAAGAAAATTTTGTCTCGAATTTCTTATTAATCTGCATAAAATTGAAGAGACGTGCATACACTTTGACCCACGCAATTAAACATATACGACTCAATGTTTGTAATAAATTAGGCGTGAAAGTTATTTTTCATTAAATACTTTAAGTTTTCACATACAACGCGTTCTGTTATTACTCATAAATCGGTAAGACAATCCAATAACGAGAATAATTCAACAATCTTAATAATAGGAAAACATTGAATAGATCCCAATGTGCACGCAAACCTGTATTTTAGTAAATAGTTTTCAAATTCATACTCAGTAACTTCAAGTAGAAATGTTTTAATAAAAAATTGTTTTGTACAAGTCACGTTTGAACAACTGACAATTACGAATTTTTTCGAAAAAATACGATAGTGTAATTCAACATGATTCATTCCTTATAATCTTTCTATTCCTTGCTTTTAATAAAACTTATATGATTACTCGCAGAAATTACAAATAATATAAATACATTTATTTAGCGATATAATAAAATCAAATTTATTTCTCGAAACTGACTTTTTTCCCTATTAATAATACATATACAGTGTATGCTGCAAATTTTTATTTGGACCTTTTGCAATGTCAATATAAAACGTCCTTTCAGTATGGATAAACCAATGCTATTTATTAACAAGTACGTAGTCTTACTTAATCATATACTTAACAAAATATTTGCAATAATTATTGCCTTTAAACCTGGTAGTTTATTATAGAAATGAATTTTTTTTTCTTCTGATATTATAAAATCGTTCTAATGAATTACTGTAAAAAAGTTGAGGAAGGAAATTTAATTGATCTATTCTTCTTACTTGATACTTGGAATTTTCAAACGACAAATTACTATTAATTATCAAGATTAATTTTAAAAGCAATCTTTTATGATTTGCCATTGACAATATTGTATATTATTTTTTTAGCTAGAATAATTAATTCTAAAGAAAATCTTCTAATGAAAAATATTTATTATTTTTTTTTTTTTTTTCTTTTTTTATTAAACGTATTATGTTGCTTTTATGGAAAAACTGATAAAAAAAAATCCATTGACTTTTTGAATATGAATAAGAATTTTATGAATCTATTACAATTATTTTATTCATTTCACTTCGCGCTATTCCGCTATTTGTTTGAAAATGTAATATTAATGTTACATAATTATATGTATTTTGAGTTATTACGATTAAAGTTAATTGTTTAATATTTATGCATATATATATATATTTTTTTTTTCATCTAATTAACATTAAGCAGCAATAAATCAATAATGAGAAATTTATTCGAAATATTATAACGATTATAACATTAAAGTTTCAATACAATCTTCGAGCAGCCATGACTCAAAATACTTTGTAAATACATTTTAAAATAGAATTTTATTTGCATTTGAATATTTTTTTTCTCATCAATATGAGAAGTCTAATTAAATCTCGGCAATTTAGTTTACTTTAAAATTATTATTCCTAGTGCATATCATAAGTATTCTTGAACAAAAAATAAAAAATAACAAATAATGAAACACAATATGCGTTGGAAGAAAAATTTTCGAATAAAAAGTGTCGCATGCGTATCGTAAAATTTCAAATTACTTTATTTCAAACGATCCGAACCTCTTGCAGAAATAAAATGTTTATATCTTAAATTAAATAGTTCCGGGTACCTATTATATACTTCGACAAATCATGCAACATGAAAAGGTTTTTTTTTCTTTTTATTAAATCATTGCATTGGCAATACGTAATTTTTTGTACGAAAGACAAAGACTAGAAGAGAAAGGGACAGAGATTGGACTGGAGGAAGAGAGAAATAGGACAAAAAAAAAAACTCGATTCACACTAATCTCTATTACGCGTCGGGTATCATGATATTATACCTTTTTTTTTTTTGTTGTTGTTTTTTGTTCATCAAGTCGGCTAAAGAGATTTCCTTAACCTTGACTTTTTTTCAGACCGTCACGTTCATAACAACGACTTACAAAAATAATAAAAAAAAAAAAAAATAAAAAAAAAATAAAAAAAAAAGGAAAGGGAGCGAGAAGCGATGGTTTAAAAAATTTTCCAGCTAAACTTGATCCCTCGTTAATGTTTGTTTCATTTGTTTCATCTGCTATTCTTATTAATAGCCCATTCCTCGACAATAAATTTCAATTTTACAATAATACATTTTAATAAGTAATTGCTGGACTAACGTAAAAAGTAAGCTGGTGTTATGGAAGATGAGGTATTAATTAAGGTGCTCGTTAATCACGGTAATTGCGTATAATGTAACAGCTTTATTCGTAATTAAATCTGAAATATCGTACTGGAAATTATTATGTAGATTTGAAGAAAAGTGTCGAAATAATTAAGCAGATAGTAATATTGAATAGGCTGAAAAATAATTCAATACGGCTAGCATTAATATTATGACAATCTATTGCTGTAAGTGCGATTAGAACAAGGATTTGCACCTTAAAACGTTAGAAAACAGTATAGAATGTGCGAGGCTGTAACGTAATGCATTAACCGTCGCTTCATATACACAATTTACGCCGTCGCTAATTAAATGTAAATTTACAGCTTTATTTATCCTTTGATTTAAATGCAGCAAATAGCGCGATAAGAAGTAATTCTTATAACCGAGTAGGACGGGAAATGGTCGCTTTTTTAACGGCACATGCACCTGGACGGAGCCAGTTGGCGCTCGTGCGGATTCCAAGAATCAACCGAAAGCGAGTAGAAAAACGCCGCTCGCGCCGCGGAGATAAAAACTTATAGAGACGTAAAGAAAAAAAAATGAAAAAAAAAATGAAAAAAAAAAAAACCGACGGGCCGTGTAACAACAATGACAAACGGAAACGCGTCGCAGCCGCCTGCACTTGTCTTTTATTCTTTTTTTCTTCATTTAGTTTTTTGACACGTGGCCGCGTCCTTCATCGATTTTCAACAAATTTTGCTTCAACGCGAACTCGCGCGTTGCTGTCTAATCGAGCGAATACTTTTCCCATCAACATCCTCACGCTTTTCTGCTGACTTTCCCCCTCTCTTTATTTATTATTTACTAGCCCATGCATCGCAGTCTGGCGCAATGCATATTCCCTCTATTGCCACTACAGTACGGCTTTGAATTTTTCGAATCCTATTCGAAGGCTGCTTATCCCCGATCGAGCTTGGATCTTGTTAACCTTTGATTTCTCAACCTGTTGATATGGCTCGATATGGCTGAATTATTACCATTATTATTTAAAATAATATAATAATAATAATAATAATAATAATAATAATAATAATAATAATATATAAGATTAATTTTAAATTTAAAATAATAATTATGATTCGTAATGGATGTCCTTTCAAAGCATTTCTCTCTCTCTCTCTCTCTATCTCTCTCTCTCTCTCTCTCTCTCTCTCTCTCTCTCTCTCTCTCTCTCTATATATATATATATATATAATATATATATATATATATATATATCTATCTATCTCTATCTCTATCTCTGTCTCTCTCTCTCCCTCCCTCTCACTTCGACGTCGCGTTCGTATAGAATTCATTAATTGGATGAAGCATTTTGCATTTAAAAATCAGACAGCGACTGAGTTAATATGGCCTGAATCAGTAAAGAGCTCGTTTGATCTCTTAGCTCAATAAATCCAATTTCACTAGCGGAATCGACATTCAATATACCTTGTACGATATTTCGGATTATTACACGCTTCTCCAAACCATAATTAAGATTACTTTTACGCGCGGCACGACACGTCATCTTTCTCAGGCGTAATCCATAGCCTTAGGAAATTCAGATTCAGATTTTAACTAATTTGACTATCTACGCGCGCACTTTAGACACATGACTGAATTAATACAATCACCGCACAGACATGCAAATACAAAAAATAAAACTATATCATATACTTTCTCGGGAAAGTTGCCTTGTTTCGCAATAGCCAGCATAAAGTGCGATATAGCGCACAAGATTCTCATTGGTATATCCATGTATTTTTTAAACTTAACGATCGTAGCTTCTTTTATAGATACGAAGCGAATAGAATTTGCAAACACTGGCTTCGTCATTGGCTTGAAAATTGATTGTTATTAATTTCGAAAAAGATCTGCCACGTTCGAGTCGTAAATTCTCGTTGAACTTTTAAAAGATGAGCAAACGAAAAGTCTAATAGACGACGTTCAGCGTCCGCCTGATAAAAATGAAATAGCTAATCATTCGGTTAAAGTGTCAAATCTTCATTAACGGCGCTCGAACTGAAATGACAATGGATGTGCGATCGAGGGCGTAGAGGAGTGCCGATCGCACGCTAACCAAAGAGGCCGAAGCACGCAGATCTAAGAGAAGTAATAGCAGTGAATCGAAAGGCAACGAGCGCGATATCTCCTCTTAAAAAAGCACGTTATAGAGAAATGAATGAAATGAAAGAAATGAAAGAAAGAAAGAAAGAAAGAAAGAAAGAAAGAAAGAAAGAAAGAAAGATAGATAGATAGATAGATAGATAGATAGATAGAAAGTGGCGCGAGAAAGGGTCGAGAGAGACCCGCGATGAAATTCAATTAACACCACCACGAGCGACAAACAAAGCCACGAATCACAAACGAAGCGGCCAACTCAGCAGCAAAGAGCCACCTTGTCTGTCTTGTTTCCGAGCAGTATGTCGACCTGGACGAGTTCCTCTCGGAGAACGGGATCCCCGTGGATGGCGTGGCCGGTGGCGGCGCAGCCGGGGCTCAGGGCGCGATGCAGCCCAGTCAGCTCCACAAGATCGGCAACAGCGAAGCGACAGGCGGCGGCGGAGCTGGCGGCGGAACCGGGGGCGGACCTGGCGCCGGAGCTGGCGTTGGCGGCGGCGGTGGCGGCGGAGGCGGCGGTGGCGGAGGAGGCGGTCACCAGGGACCCGCGAGCCTTCACCTCGAGCCCGTCACCAAGCGCGAACGCTCGCCCTCACCGAGCGAATGCTGCTCGCCCGACACCCTCAATCCACCCTCGCCCGCGGACTCCAGTGAGTGCTTTTCACGGGCTAACCTTACCTTTACGATGATGCGAGAGCTTACTTTTTCTGTGGGGCGCGATGACGGGGGAGTGGGAGATTTCTGAATTTCGCATTACGGAGTGGTGGTGGTGGTGGTTGATGAGATGGTGGTACGAGGGTGGAAGCTGGGAGGGGAGGGTTTTCTCTGTCTAAGGAACGCCGAGTTGGTTCGCGATGATCGCGGCCTCTCAGCTGTTCGAGGTACTTTCTCGGGTGTGATGAGCTCGCTGAAATGCGCGAAATTGCCTTTTTGGAGCAGAGCACTTTAGTTGTAGTGCTCGCGTGACTCGGACGATGAGCTTTGGCGAAAAACCATGAAAAAGTAAGCCTATCATTAAAGTAAAGGAACTTGATTACGAAAACGGTTTTATTGTGATTTTTCGTTTTTTTTCGTTTTTTTTTTTGTTTTTTTGTTTTTTTGTTTGTTTTTTTTTTTGTTTGTTTTTTTTTTATGTTGGACGACTGAGATGAACGAGCATGTATTTTAAATACGTTATAAACGGCGCTTATAATATTGCGGACATTAATTCTTGCATTTAATCGATTATTATGTGGCCCGTAAAAATTATTCAGCTAGTAGATTTCCGACATAAAAATGCTAATTTGTTTTGATGATAATACGTTTTAAGCTATTTGTTTATTGTTTGTTAATTGGGCACGAGTAAGTAGCGAATGTTACAGCCACGGATTTTCATTCTCTTGTAAATAATTAAATAAAAAAAAAGAACAGAACAAAAAAAAAGTATATATATATATGTGTGTGTGTGTGTGTGTGTGTGTGTGTGCGTGCGTGCGTGCGTGCGTGCGTGCGTGCGTGCGTGCGTGCGTGCGTGCGTGCGTGCGTGCGTGCGTGCGTGCGTGCGTGCGTGCGTGCGTGCGTGCGTGCGTGCGTGCGTGCGTGCGTGCGTGCGTGCGTGCGTGCGTGCGTGCGTGCGTGCGTGCGTGCGTGCGTGCGTGCGTGCGTGCGTGCGTGCGTGCGTGCGTGCGTGCGTGCGTGCGTGCGTGCGTGCGTGCGTGCGTGCGTGCGTGCGTGCGTGCGTGCGTGCGTGCGTGCGTGCGTGCGTGCGTGCGTGCGTGCGTGCGTGCGTGCGTGCGTGCGTGCGTGCGTGCGTGCGTGCGTGCGTGCGTGCGTGCGTGCGTGCGTGCGTGCGTGCGTGCGTGCGTGCGTGCGTGCGTGCGTGCGTGCGTGCGTGCGTGCGTGCGTGCGTGCGTGCGTGCGTGCGTGCGTGCGTGCGTGCGTGCGTGCGTGCGTGCGTGCGTGCGTGCGTGCGTGCGTGCGTGCGTGCGTGCGTGCGTGCGTGCGTGCGTGCGTGCGTGCGTGCGTGCGTGCGTGCGTGCGTGCGTGCGTGCGTGCGTGCGTGCGTGCGTGCGTGCGTGCGTGCGTGCGTGCGTGCGTGCGTGCGTGCGTGCGTGCGTGCGTGCGTGCGTGCGTGCGTGCGTGCGTGCGTGCGTGCGTGCGTGCGTGCGTGCGTGCGTGCGTGCGTGCGTGCGTGCGTGCGTGCGTGCGTGCGTGCGTGCGTGCGTGCGTGCGTGCGTGCGTGCGTGCGTGCGTGCGTGCGTGCGTGCGTGCGTGCGTGCGTGCGTGCGTGCGTGCGTGCGTGTGTGTATATGTATATATGTATGTTAAGAAGAATCACTACAAAGTTACATTATAAAGAAAATTTTAATTTTGTGTCATTTCGAAAATTAATATTTAACGATGTATCGCGTATGAAAGAAAAATTTGCCACACTAAATGAAATAGTTGCTATTTTTAAATAAAAATTTTCTACTTCGCTCGCAACGTTAATTTTCCTAACATATCACTTATTGTTACAAATTAATGAAAATCTTTTTAAATGGAATGACATAGTTTTTAATTTCTTTTTTTATAATTGACCTAGGGCATTAGAAGTCAAGACCACAAAACGCCTCCACACTTGAGCGCCATTCTATCACTCCAAACATTTATGTTCAAGTATTCGCTGATTTACTAATTGCACTACATACTGTATAACAATTCTGAAATATATGAACGAATTCTCGTATTTGTGATTTGAGATAATATCGAGATTTTTGTGCTAAACAACGTTCTTTTCGCCAAATTTAAAAAACTTTATAGCATATTTACCGTGGGAATAGATTTTCAATGATAAATTTCACACTAACTCATAGATAATACACAATTGGAAGATAATATATTGTAAATAATTTTTAAGACTGCCTTTCCACTTTTATTGAAATTCCAATTTATCAAACATATTCCGTCACTTTTAACTTACATCTTTTATAATGACAATAATCATAATAATAACAATAACGATAACGATAACGATAACGACAACAACAACAACAACAACAACAACAACAACAACAACAACAACAACAACAACAACAACAACAACAACAACAACAACAACAACAACAACAACAACAACAACAACAACAACAACAACAACAACAACAACAACAACAACAACAACAACAACAACAACAACAACAACAACAACAACAACAACAACAACAACAACAACAACAACAACAACAACAACAACAACAACAACAACAACAACAACAACAACAACAACAACAACAACAACAACAACAACAACAACAACAACAACAACAACAACAACAACAACAACAACAACAACAACAACAACAACAACAACAACAACAACAACAACAACAACAACAACAACAACAACAACAACAACAACAACAACAACAACAACAACAACAACAACAACAACAACAACAACAACAACAACAACAACAACAACAACAACAACAACAACAACAACAACAACAACAACAACAACAACAACAACAACAACAACAACAACAACAACAACAACAACAACAACAACAACAACAACAACAACAACAACAACAACAACAACAACAACAACAACAACAACAACAACAACAACAACAACAACAACAACAACAACAACAACAACAACAACAACAACAACAACAACAACAACAACAACAACAACAACAACAACAACAACAACAACAACAACAACAACAACAACAACAACAACAACAACAACAACAACAACAACAACAACAACAACAACAACAACAACAACAACAACAACAACAACAACAACAACAACAACAACAACAACAATGATGATGACGATGATGACGATGATGACGATGATGATGATGATGATGATGATGATGATGATGACGACGATGATGACGATGATAATATTCAATGTATATTATCGAGCTTAATAAATAGAGAGCGTTATTGTATCGATTTCATTGCTATTGATTTGTATGTTAATTTTAATTTATCCTTTCTTCGTCACAAGTTGACCGGTTGCATTTTTCTATTATATCCTAGACGCATTGCTTATGTATTGCTTTAAAATTTTCTTTGTAATATAATTTTTGAACAAGATTTCCGATTGTATTGTTCGTTAAACGAGTTACTTATCAGACACGAGTGAATACGCATTAATTTTAAGTGTCGAGTGACATGAAATTTTTACAAAATTCATCGATTAAGTGCATCAATTAGTTAATGATTAAATAAATAATCTCAAGCGAATCCGAAGAACAATACGATTGGTTAGACGAACGGTCAAATGGTAAAATTACGAAAGCTTGATAATTACTTATCAGCATAAACAATTACGCTGAATGGCATTAAGCCTCATAAAGATATTTGAATGTGAAAATTGTGATATTCAATAGGCGAGCGTATGATTAACCAAATGGATTGCTCATAAAGTGTCGGAGAAATCGTGTCATCGATCTCGTCATCTTTATTCACTGCTCGCACGCTCGTGGCCCTATTATTTACGTTAAACTTTACTTAAACGGCCAAAGAATTATTGTCATCGCCCCGGGGCGTTTATCACAATCGCACAATCGCACATTCGCATTAAAAGCATCGCTGAGATCATAATTAATGTCCGTCGGGATAATCAGCAGCGCCGCTCTCCTTCGAGCGCACGGCAGTTTCGAAGTAGCGCAGTGAAAAAAGTCGAGATCGAAGGGACGAGCGAGTAGTAAGAGGAAAATTAAGTCAGAGCGTGTCACATGACCACGGGACGAAAGAGCGAGGAAGCTCCTCCTCGAGTCCGGCTCCTCGCACTCTCGTCCCTCTCACCTCACGCCGATCATCCTCTTAGTACGCGACTGCGCGGCTGGCCAGGACTTCGGTATGCCCGCGCCTTAGAACCTTAGCTCGCAACTAACGTTGAGTCGTTACGAATTCCTGTGTATGGTGCCGCGCCGCCAGACTCGGGGGACTCGTCACGAATACAATATGGCTTGTCTCTTGTAGCGCTCTCGATGGCCTCATCGGGGCGGGACTTCGATCCCCGGACCCGAGCATTCTCCGACGAGGAGCTCAAGCCCCAGCCGATGATCAAGAAGTCACGGAAGCAGGTAAGGCCACCTTCCTACCCCGCTTCCGCTTTTCGCTTCGGACACTGGCGCGTGGTTGTTCATGGCTTCGTTATCGCGCTTTTATCATTATCGCGATGGTGCTGGCTGGGCTGTTTGTTATGTACACTGCACGAGGCACTGGCCGACTCGTTATTCTCGGGGGCGGCTAAGCTGGACATTCACTGGTAATTCATTGATAATTCGACGGCCGAGTCGGGCCCATTGGACTGCCTGGCATCGGGCTAATTTCGAAGGACGCGTGGCTTTCCATTCGTGGTACGAATCGACGAGATTTGTGGGTGGGTGTAGGATGGGAGGAGGTTGGGCGGGATGCTGGAGCCGATTTAACCGGGAAATTTTTAACAGCACGCGGCTTCTCATTATTCAATAAATAAGAACTTTTTTTTCGTTAAAAGAACGTTGATTATAAACTCCGAATGCCAGCTTTACGAGGGTTTTGTAAATGTAGACGGCAATATTTATTTATGTTTTTTATTTTTTCCGAGATTAGATCCTCTTAATGTAATTTTGCTTAAGTATCGAACGATTACTATTGTTAATCTAACAAATGTTTTTTTTCACTGAGAGATCAATTTTTCTTCCTTTTTTTTCCCATTCTCTCTCTCTCTCTCTCTCTCTCTCTCTCTCTCTCTTTTTTTTCGTTTTTCCTTTTTCCTTTTTCGGCTATTGTTTTTCTTCTCTCTTTTAAGAAAATATGACGAATCTAAATACACCTTCTCGTACCGAACTCGCCATTAATCGATCATCTTCGACAAAGCGATCACCTACAATTAGTTTTGATTTTAAAATGCACGAGATAATGAATGACTGAAAAATATAAAGAGTAGTGGCAATCATACGATATTTTATTAAATTTACTATTAATAATTTGGGTAATACACTGAAGGACGAAATTATGAAAGTAAATTTACCTTCGCATTAAATGCATTCTCGATTAAACTGTCCCAACCGTCTCGCATAAAGATAACTCTAAATCGGTAAATTTTCTATATAAGCCAATATTATACGACCAATTGTTTATAATCGAGATAATTGCAAATAAATAATATTAGTCACAAGCCATTCCAAAGATTTTAATTGACTTTTCGGTATAAACACAACTCAGCGTGCATGTAGTGTTATTACCTAGTAAATACAGTTAATAATTTATATTTATTCAAAATAAAAAAAACTCAAAATATTTAAGTGGCATTAGATTTCAATTATATTTATATATTTCATGATTGTCACAACTGAATATATATATATATATTATTTCACATACGCGTATGTACGTGTGCATGCATACGTATACATATGCATGCATGTACGTACGCATGCTTGTATGTGTGCATGCGTGCATTTATGTATGTATGTATGTATGTATATATGTACGTATGTGGGTATGTATGGGTAATAAAGTACTTTAAACGGTTTGGGATTAAAAATTTTTCTTCCACTCCCAAGTTTTACGTATGAATACTAATTTTCAAGCTTCCGACCCCTTAATTAAAGGCATTAAAAATATCAAATTAAAAACGGACGTTAAGTACTTTTACTCGATGCTTATATTCAATCTATAAAGTATGTACCTAACTGAAATCCAATAGAAAAACGCAAATAATGTAATAATAATACGCTAATGAAGCGAAGTACTTATCCCGAATTCCTCGTCAGTCGATCCATCATTGTACAATAAATAATTTGTTTCCCCAAAATTATCCCAACGTCAAGTTCTTAAAGTCAAGTTCTCTGTAAGCTTTCCAGCATCCCATAACAGTGCCACAATCATGCTTCTCTTAATAAACAATGAAATAGATTAGTACCGAATTTGTACTGCAAATACAAATAAAAGCAAAATCTATCGACCGAATGCGCCCTATCGATCACCCAACCACCAACTTTTGTACAATTAGTTATCAATCTAATTTGAAATACTGGTCTTGCAGTTCGTTCCCGATGACCTAAAGGATGACAAATACTGGGCCCGTCGCAGAAAGAATAACATGGCGGCGAAACGCTCGAGGGACGCGCGCCGCATGAAGGAGAATCAAATAGCCCTACGTGCCGGATTCCTTGAGAAGGAGGTAAGAAGGCTACCGCCAATCATCCTTATTTTCTCTCTCTCTCTCTCTCTCTCTCTCTCTCTCACTCACTCACTTTTGGCCTTCTGTATTGGGGTGTTTGACTCCTGTCACCCGCGCCCCGCATAATCACAGCCGTCGTAGCTGAGGTCCGCATCTTGGGAACGCGTTTATTAATCCGTCTGATGCTCGATCCTTGGGAGCAAATGAGCGAGGTCAAAACTTTTTCAAATTAACGGACCACGAGCGCTCTTTCGGTACTTGTGCGACTTTAATTTAACCGAGCTCTTCATTCGCCATCCTGACTCTACATTCTAATGACAATTAACTGATAAGGCCGTTAAGCTGGTTAGAATGCTTAAACGTGGCGCTAAGCGTCCACGTACGAAACGCTAAGAAATTTGTCAACGCGAAATCTCAATCGGTAATGTAGATTGTTCATTAGAGGAATTTTGGTTCATCGGCCATTACATATACAAGCTGAGCGCGATATTACCAGGTTATCGCGATCGATTTTCTTTCTCGGCTACGCGTCTATTCCACCACCTCGACGTACCGTCCTTGTAATTAACGCGAGCCGAGCGTTATTAACTTAATTCTCGGTCGAGTATTGAGAGAAATCTTTCAAGTGCGGATCGCTTCGGGCAGTAAGTTAAGATAAAAATGGGCAGACAAGCTGTCGCCGAGCCACCATAATTTCATGTTTCTCATCTGTTGCAGAATATGGGACTGCGGCAGGAGCTGGACCGGTTAAAGAACGAGAATATGCTGCTGCGCGACAAGCTAAGCAAGTACACGGACGTGTAACCGCTGCGGCCCCCAGCGCTCCGCACCTCAAGCTAACGAATAACGAGAATCCCCCGAGTGACGATGTGTCTATGTGCTAACTGCGAGCGAGAAAGGAGCATTAAAGGATTATCGGTCCACTGCACGCGCCTTCTAACACCCACGCGCGATATCTGTTACTCTCCTCCCTTTTCTCTCTCTCACTCTCTCTCTCTCTCTCTCTCTCCCCTGTGTGTGTGTGTGTGTGTGCGCGCGCGCGCGCGCGCGCGTGTGTGTTTGTGTGTATCTATCTATCTATTTCTCTGGGCGCGCGACGAGGACCGCGGCGATAAATAAGCTGATGAGCGAAAAAGGCAGGAGAGCGCCGAGCGAGTCGAAGGTCCGCGTGGGCGTCGTCACCATCGGCAGGAAGCGCGCGAAGCTTCGACGCCGAGCCGCGGAGATCGAGTCACGTTCGAGAGCACTGAGCAGAGAGAGAAAGAGAGTGAGAGGTAGAGAGAGGTAGAGACGGGTAGAGAAAGGTGGAGAGAGAGAGAGAGAGAGAGAGAGAGAGAGTGCGAGTGCGAGTGGTAGAGAGAGGGGAAGAGGATTGGGTACTCTCGGGTAATTCGTTGTCAGTCTGTCAAAATTAATGTAACGCAGGCTCCTTAGGGATGAATTGGGGATAAGGGGATTCGGAGCGATTGGATTTGGATTGTCGTCGGGTTACTTTTTGCTCGATAGGAGTGCAACTTTCGTGCTCGCCATTCGTGCTTTGCTCGCACGATGAACGTCGCATAAAAATAATGAGCGATAAAATTACGCGGTGCACTCTGTTGGAGTAGTGTCATCTTGGGTAGTAGTGACTTATGACTTTTATCTTTTTATCATCCATCGAGCGCACAATCTTACTCTCTCTCTTTTCTTTGACGCCATCGTAATTATGATTGTCTCGATTTAATGAAAACAGTGTATTTTGCAAAATTTTATCGTCTTAAGATTTTTCATGCTGCTCGGGGTGAAAAACCGGTCAGTCTTTGTTTTCATCGAGGCTCTTACAGCTCCAGTGGAGTGAACGTTTACCACTATCGAAAAATCACGGCCAAGTCTATTGTTACTCGTTTGATATTGTTTTTATAGTGCAATGTCATTAGTTTCACTTGGACGCACTTATGACTTTTGGCCTCATTAAAGACGATCTCGATCTTCACAAAGCGAAATTAAACATCGTTTCGATGATACATTTATTCATTATGCTACAATATAATTATCCAACAAACTTTCTTATCCAATAATCTATAGAGGCATAATAAAAATTCAATACTTAAACGATTTCATTGCGAGGATAATACTAAATCATTTTTTCCAAAAGAAGACTGAGCACGCGTATTTTCACTCCGCAAAGTATAAAAGAGCAAAACTGCCTTGCACGTTCTGCTTCCCATTTATCGACAGCAAAAGATTATTTTGTCTTTAATTATTCACACTTACCGGCTTTTATCTTTCCTTCTACTTCTTCTTCTTCTTCTTCTTCTTTTCTCCATTTCTATTATGTATGCAGAAAGTTAACCTCATCCTCCATTATTTTTATCCCATCCCCATCCCTCGATTGTACATAGTTATATGTATAGTTAGATTACACGAAGAAAAAAAAATTATATATATAAATACAAGACAAATTATAATATCGATATATCATTTGCAATGATAGTATGATAATAACAAACACAACACCACAACATTTTTTAGATACAGCAAGATAGAAAGCGACAGAGATAGAACGAGAGAGCGAGACAGACAGAGAGGTAGTGAGGTAGAGAGGTAGAGAGAGAGAGGTAGAGAGGTAGAGAGAGAGAGAGAGAGAGAGAGAGAGGTAGAGAGGTAGAGAGAGAGAGAGAGAGAGAGAGAGAGAGAGAAAAAGAGACCGTTCAATTGTATACATCATACGTGTCTAATGAAAGATAGTATTCTTTGTAAATGCAGGGAACGATTTTATCGGCGACATTTTATATGAGAATACGAAGAAAGCTAAATTAATTATCATTGTTAATGAATGTATTGAGTGCTCGTGCGAGGCTCGAAGTGAGCGATTTGTTAATTTTTTTTTTTTCTTACACCAGTGTCTCCTTTTTTGTTGACATAAAAAATATATTAAATGTTTTAATTAATCGTAAGAGTAAAATAATGGTTCTCATCAATTTTCGTGTAAAAGAATGATTTTTCATGCTTTGGAGCATGAGGGGGGAAAAAAATTATTTTAGAGAAATTAATATAGAAACCTCAATGAGTTTTATAAACGGGAATGTGTGTTTAAATTTAAGTTTCCATACAGATTCTCATTCACTCACCCTAAGATCCGAACAGAGATCCTATATAATTAAATATATACATATACGATATTAACATGGCTTGGAGCAACATACCGAATGCAAAATTAGAATATCTTAGAACAATCACACGGCATTGTTTCAATTGATTGTGCTCTTAAATTTAGCGTCAAACGCCGAAAATTATGGTTATCTTATTATAACTTGCCCAGTTATATTTATTATCATCGGATAAGACAAAATTTATTTTTTAAGAAAAATTATATTTTACATTAACACTTTCGGTGCGGTGTCGACTCTACTTTTTTACAATTCAATATATTTCTACAGCAGGTACGACAATAAGTTTATAAATATATATTTTCCAAATTGAAAAGAATACAATTTTTTTAATAAAACTATCGTAATCCTCTGATATTTCTTTCGATCTTAATCGAAGATTTTATTAAATTATACCTGCTTAAATAATTATTGTCTTGTAAGTGTAATTTAATGGAGAGCGTACGATTGCACTGCAAATTTGCCGACTTGTAGGGAACCTCTTTATCGATCAATCAAGCAAAGTTAAGTTCCCATTTATATTATTCGTTATCACTAGCATTTATACGTTATCGCCATAAATTCGTAAAGTTTTAGAAAAAAAAATTTTGTTACGCAAAGCGACATTAATGGCAATAAATTTTAAAATAATAATATCTAAGTGTTTGCGAAAATTAATTTTCAATGTTCACAACTGCACTGAAAGTGTTATAGGGTGAATGCATATATTTAATTATATTTACAGTAAATTATTACACTTTAGGGCTTACACAGAATTTTTTTATTAGGAGATAATATAATACGTAATGAAATCTACGTACGTGTTCAATTTTTTTTTTTCTTTTTCTGTTTTTGTTTTGTTTTGTACTTTATACTCAAGCGTAAAAGAAAATCCGACAAAAGTATGAAAATTTTGCGAAACTCATGAGCCTTCGATCCCGAGTGATGAAGCGAGGAGTATAATTCTGGCCGAAGAAAGCATCCGCTGTCGATAGTGAAAACATAAACGTATAATACGTACCCACGTAACGCATTGTTACACACGTATATTAGACATAGACGCTCCCGAGGTTTTGTCGAACCGAATAAACAAGCAGAGTGCTGTTAACCATTGTATGAGAGAAAGCATAATTGAAAGGTAAATGCGCGAGCAAAATATGTCCCAAATGATTCTCTTCGTCTTCCTGCGTACACGAGCAAGGATAAATTGACTACGATGCAGCTTTGTAATATTTTCCTTTTCCTTATAAACGTAATGCTTATAATAATCCCTACTATGTTCTCGTGAAATTTAGAAATTAAGCCCATTTTTCTCACCGTAAAAATAAAATATGCGCGCAGTCACTGCCACAATTATTGCTCGATTTCGCGAACAATATTAATTACGAGGGAAAAAGAAAAAAAAGAAAAAAAAAAACTTTCGTCGATGGTTTAATAAATAAACGTATTTATTAACCGTTTTTCAAAAAGGCTTTTTATACTCGATGAAACGTTCTTTTTTTTCTCTCCGTATAAAATGACAGACTCGATGAAGAAAATAAGAAAAACAACAAAGTAATTGTTTTAAGGGGACAAAGAGCATCGTTTCTTCATTTTCTCATTTCTATTATTGACGAAGTAGGTAGGCAGCGCTAGAAATATTTCGCAAATTCGCTTATTAGTGAAGAAGCTCGCAAATTCATTGACATCGACGTTTTCTGCGCGCCCGAGAGCCTTACTTCTTATTTTATTCTTTCTTTGTAATGACTTTCGAATGTCTATTGATTATTAGCGTAATCACGTGCACACAACACACGTTGGTGACGGTTTTTAACACAAGTGATACTAGTTGTCTTTACTGCTGCATAAGAAAGGTTTTGCATGCCTTCTGTCCTTGAATAAAGAATCCTCGTCCCGAGTGATTTTGTCATTCTTTATTTTTTACACAGCTATAATGTAATAATAATAATAATAATAATATGTATATGTATATGTATATGTATATATATATATATATATATATATATATATCCATCTATTCCTTATTTTTTAATGTATCGCCTCATTTACAATATTGTTATGTACTATAGAGTAAAGTCGACATGATAACTATTATGCATGTATTGGAATATTGTAGCGAAAAAAAAAATATTGGCACACTCGCCCGCACGGAAAACGTCCTATGATATACATGAGAGAACAATTGGGAATATTTCTTCTTCGTAAAGAAGCTAAGAACTTTGTTCTGTAAAAACTATGTACAAGTAAAGTGAGAGCTTCAAAATCATCTTTTTGTATATGACCTAAGAAAGAACGAGCGAAAGAGAGAGAGAGAGAGAGAGAGAGAGAGAGAGAGAGATAGCGATAGATGAGTGAGTGTGAGAGTGAAAGAACGATCACGATGCGCATGCACGCACCTAAGCACATGTATATATACATATATGCATGGATTAGTGTATGTATATATATATATCGCCTGTTAGTTGTTATTTTAATATTAGCTAATTAAAAAATATTTTAAATCTATTGCAGGGAGACTCGTAGACGTATATATACGTACATATTATATCGATAGAAAAAAAATTTGTTCGGAATATTTTTCTTTGTAAACATTTTTCATATTTTGAATTTATGTACTTTTTTTTCTTTTTTTTTAATTAGCTATTATTTTAAAATACGTGCGTAAAACAAAGTGTTGAGAATAACACAATATATATAAATTTTTTTTTATTTTTCAAATGATCAGCACCGTCATCGATAGAGAAGCTTCGTCGGTGCTGTCACTGCTTTTCTCCTTCCTTTTACTTTAAAATACTTTTTCTTTTTCTTCTTCCTTTTTTTTTAAGTTTTTAGATGTTTATTTTTTGTTTGTCAATGTAAGCTGAGAT